AGGGGGCTCTGGTTGAACCCACACTTTATGGCAACTGTACCCATAAATGCAAAGGCAAAATGTGAGCGTGCAAGCGTGACTACACAAACGCAAACCAGACCTGTGAGCCTGGCTTCAGGCAAACTGAAACCTGAACGGAATCTTAGATAATGTTTACCTCAGGACGAAACAACAACAAGGGAAGAGCGTGTAGCTCAGTGGTAGGGGCAAGGTCCTGAGTTCGATCCCCGATCTCTAATATGGGGCAGGTTGGGGTGAGACAACAACAAAGAAGTAAAACCATAGACACATAGCTCAACAGTATTCTGCTATTCTAGAAGAGTTTTTACTTCAGAGGAGCGGGGGGAAGGGAGGGAGGGAGAGAGCAGAGAGAGAGGGAGAGAGGTAGCCCTAAATTAAACATGGAAGAACATGCCCAAGGCAGACCAAAAGAGAACTCACTGGCCTTGCAAAACACACAGGCACTTGAATTCAAGCTGCTGGATAGACCTGCCGATGTTAGTTAGGGGCCACACTGACAAACCCCAAAAAGAGGGCCAGTTCTATCCAATGAGAAGCAAATAGACAAATAGCATTCCAGTTTTCAAAAAATAGGAAAAGGATATGTTCTGGAAACCACATAGGGTTACACTTCAGTCCCTGGGTAGATTGGAGACTACTTGATGTACACACAGATATTAGTGACTTAATACGAGTTCTCTTACTCCTTTCTTGATGTAGACTGTAGGGGAGCCATTCAGGAGATGGCATTTTATCTCCATGCAGTGTTATATGTTCTTGTAAAAAGAGCATAAAATAGAGATCTAGAGACACAGGTTTTAATATCGGTCCATGGTCAATAAATTGGATGATCGCAGAGAAGTGTTTTAATGTCACTAGACCTCATTTATGAAAGAGAGGCATGTCTTTCTGTTGCTGGGATGAAATATACAACTTAGAGGAGAAAAGGTTTGGCTTCAGAGGATCCAGTCCATGGCTGGCTGGCTCTGGGAGGACACATCCCTGTGGAAAGGTGAGGCAGATGAAAGCTCGAGCAGGGGAGAAGGACTGAAGAATAGACAGACCTCCGAAGGCAGCCACCGGTGACCTGCTTCCAACGGCCCCACCCCCAGTAGCTCGTCCAGCCACGAACTCATCCGTGGATTACTGCCTTGATAAGGTTAGTGCCCTTCCCTTGTGATCCGAGCAACTTCCAAAAGCCCCATCTCTGAAAACATGAGATCTGGGGGGAACATTTTCTATCTAAACTATAGCAATAAGAGGTATTCTGTGAGGTCTCACTTATTCCCTAAATTCCACAATTCCACCTTGTAATGAAGGATGGGCTAGTGACAGTACGCTCTAGAAGATGCAGCCCCAGTAAAACCATCACACCTGAGGGCTTTTCATGTACCGCAGATGCTATGTTACACTGATCAAGGAACGGTACTGGTGCTTGGTTTTGCCTGTTGTGTACATGTATTGGTGATTCTATCTCCAAATAGGCAAGCTATGACAAGGGGGTCACAGAATGAAGATCTGATTGAGCTGAAAGAGGCTTAGATTGAAAGCCAGATGAAATTAATTGATATTAATGTAAAGCTCTAGCCCTATTTTTTTTAAAGCCTTCACAAGTTTAGACTAGGGAAGAGCTGGCTGAGCAGGCTGGTGCACCTTTTATATCTTTTTTTTTTTTTTTTTTGAGACAGAGTCTCACTATGTAGTTGAGACTGCCCTGGAACTCACTATGTAGCCCAGGCTGGTCTCGAACTCACAATGATCCTCCTGCCTCAGCCTCCTGAGTGCTGGGATTACAGGCGTGCGGCACCAGGCCCCGCTACGCACATTTTATATCTAACAGTAAGGTCAGTGTTAACAGACGGCATGTGCTGAGCTCTTCCATGGACTTTGCACGTTATCTCATTTCTGGGGCCTGACAGTGTGGTAGAACCTCAGCCCAGGAAGTGCTGGTGTCACCGCTACCTGCCCTGTCAGATCCTGTCGTCGGTGTTACTGTCGTTGGTGTTACTGTCATTGTCGGCAGACAAATTGGGTGTGTGCAGATCGGGACAGCCCAGGGAGGGAGAATGTCTGAAAACCAGGTCCCCAGGGAGAGGGTCAGGAGAACTGACCATTCTCAACCCAGAGGACGCACAACCAGAGTGTGATGTGAGGGGAAGGAGGAAGAAAGGCGTGATGAGGACTTGGGCTCTGACTGCTCCCGGTCAAACCCACGTGCTTCAGTGTGTCAGTTGTGTGACACTGAGCAAGTGAGCCTCCTTTGTGCCTCTGTTTCCCCAAATGTAAAGAGAGTGTGGTTGCGGTGACTGACAGAAATATGAGGAAGATAATCAACGAGATGTTCAGAGAAGCAGACGGGGCAGGCAGCAGTGCTTCGTGTATAGGCCTTCAGAAAGAGGAAGAGGACCAATGCATAGAAGCAAGAACAGAGAATGCAGAGCCACCTAAAGAGACCTTTCGTAGTCTCCAAACTTCTCAATGAAGAAATAAGCTCCCCGTGAGGAGAGCAGCTTGTCCTGCAGTGGGGAAACCAGTTAGGAAGATGACGAGATAGCCATCAGTTAAGAACGTCAAAGGAATCGGGAGGTGAGGCAATATGAGGGGTAACGAGCCCTAACTTTCCATCACTCCTCCAGTGAAGTCTCTAGAAGGTGCATTTGTAGAAACTGTAGTCTGTTTTCTGTTGCTACAGCTGAATAAGGCAGACTGGGTAATTTAAAAAACAATGAAGGTTTATTCCACCCACAGTTCTGAAGGTCCAGTGTGGAACTGTATCTGCTGAAGTCCTTCTTGCTAGTGGGGGAATTCTGCACAGTCCAAAGCAATACATGGGTCTCTCTTCCTCCCCCTCCCTCAATACTGTAGATTGGACCCAGGGCCTCCTCCATGCTAAGCAAGCCCTCTATTACTGAGCTAAATCCCCAGCCCTTTTGATTTTTTTTTTTTTTTTTTTTTTTTTTGGGG